TGGCCATTCTTCTTTTTCTTCTTCTTTGAAGTTATTTCTATATCAGTGCCTGTACTCTGACAACTGTTCATGAAGGAAACATTGTACTATCTGATAAAGGTATTCTGAAACCTTTGGTTATAAACCCAGAGGTCAAATGTTCTTACACTCTTAGTTAATTCCAACAACCCTCAACTAGTTACCAGTTAGACACTGACACTGGGGATGGGTAGAGGAGGGAGGGGGGTCTTGGCATCTGAGAGAGGAAGTGGTGCAAACAGTTCACAGCCTAATTTGGTGGCATTTTACAGCAGCTGTGATTGGGTAATTGGGAATACACATTCATTTTTGACATGACAGTAACTGTGCAAGAATTAAGAGCCAACACAAATGTTGTTCCCATTGGGTGATCAGTTTGGTTTAGGTGTCTCATGTATATATAGGAGTTTAATTAGCTACTAAAGTCGTGTGTATGTGTTGAATTCTTTTACATCACTTTAATACTTTGTTAATATAATCTTGAAATAGAAATATTTTAGAGTGTTTTGCTACATAACATCAGAGACCATATAATATATTATATGGTCTCTGATAACATCAAGGTGAGATGAATATATTACATGTTACCTACTAGTATGTTAATACCGCCAACCATGCACAGTACATTTTTGGTATATAACAAAGCATATCTGTTACACCAAACACATGCACACCTTTTACATGTTACCTCCCCCAATAAAGAAGATGCTTTCCTTACACTTGAATGCTATGTTATGTAGATGTACTATAAAAAACAGTCACATTTCATTGTTTTCAAATGAGTCCAGGTATACAATTATACAGTGTCATATCTGGGTTGTATTTTCACTTTTGCTGCAAACATTGTAATATGTATTGCAGAAAACAAACTCCAGTATTTGACAGATGATATTATGTACTATACTAGTATATCAAAGGTTGATTATAATCAATGAATTGCCATCATCTTTGGATATGAGTGTTTGTCTGTTTCTAGACTTGCTTGAACTGAATTGGTGAAAGTGGAATTGGTTAAAACTGTCTGTTAATGGCTGAATCAAGTGAATAGAGACCAGCTCAAGTTAGCACTGACTGTGCAGACTTGCCATAAACATGTCACCAGATGCTTCCCTAATTGCTACTGAGTAGCTGTCTGTTCAGATCTGCTGCTCACCAGATTGTTGAAACAAGAATTCCAAGGAGGAACTGACTCTATGAAAGGTGTGAGAACCTACTGTTTATTTGAGCAAGGTGGTTATCTCATATAGGACATTTTGTGGGAGAAATAATAATATTTGTGAAATAATTTGTAAATCTGTGAATGAATTTGGATGGGAATGTATATGGTTAGGTAATTTCTTAATTTTTGCAATGCATGTAAACAGATAATGTTGTCTTGATTTTAACCCATGTATACAATAGGTTGAAAAGTGTGACCCATTAAGGTAGGGCATCTAGGATAAAGCATATATTAGAAGTCTATGGATTTGGATTTGTTTGGCAAGAACAGATGGTTCAAAGTGAAACGCTATTTTTAAATGAATATCTTGGTAGACTGAAAGTTTCGTATCAACAGGACTGGCATTCTGCACTAATAAAAGGCACAAAAACATTTGGATACACCTTGTTTAAACCTTTGTTTGGTGTTGAATCTTATATCTTCATAGTTAGCTATTTTAAACATAGACAGGCGCTTGCTCAGTTTAGATAGGGGTCTCATAAACTACGAATAGAAACTGGCAGGTATATTGGTGAGGCTAGAAATGACAGATTATGTAATATCTGTAAATTGCCATATATAGAAGATGAATATCACTTCTTACTTATTAGTAATAAATATCAAGTATTGTGGCGACTGTATATACCTTTACACTTTTATGAATATCCAACAATCCAAAAATTTAATACGCTTCTGCAATCATCAAATGCAAGCATCTTAAAACATTTATCGGCATATATATATCAGCTATGTTACTGAGACAGTCCTCATTATAACATATTTTCTCACTCTGTAATTCTCAAAGTGTAACCTGGGCCTATGGCCTATATTACTTTTCTGAAATAAACCACCATAAACCACCAATGTATTAAATATGAATTTGGATTAATATGTATACTATTGGACAAGTAAATTTAAGAAGGACTGTGGAGTAAGCTCTTACCTTGAAAAGTTTTGTTTGATAGACTGACAGTGATTTTGGTTGTTAAATTTGATAAAATGAATTAAAATATATTATATATGTGGGGTTTTATCACTTGTTTGTCAAGAACAAAGCATTGAAGAAAAAACATGATTAATATACATGTAGTTATAAGTGTGCAGTTATAACTGAAGATGGGAAAGGTGATTATGATAAGTAATGCTTGCCATTTCCTAACCTATCTAACAATCTTAATAGGTTATAGGAATATGCTTGAAGTATTGAGCTCTTAGATTGCAGCACAAGTCTAAAGTTTCTTATATTCCATGACTATCATGACCATTAACTTCCTCATGGCTAATGGTATGACATACCTATGATGCAGCTTCCAAAACAAAACATTTTTTGAGTAGTATTTCATTGTTAAAATGAACAACAATGTCATGTACTGTGTGCTCAATCACAACAATTAAGCAAAATTCTGGATGTTTTCTGTGGAAATAACATTCATTTCATTCTATACAATATTTTAAATGCATACCATTTTAAAGCTTGTTTCTTCAAAACTTATGTATAAAAGAACAATAAAAATAGAACAAGAACAAGAAATTTATTCAGTATCAGAGGTCACATTGCCAAGAGTACAAAGCATTGGATCACCCATGTGCACAAGGACAGGTGGGACAAATGTTATTCCATCTTAATGCAGTGAAAATGTATAGCTTTTAAGATATGGCATGTTTTCGTATATAATGCACATAATAATTAATGAAACATTAGTAGACCAACATTTGTGTATTTATTGCTTACTATATTTAAGATTCTTTTTTTTGTCAGATACCCTACAGGGCTAAATATATTTGGGTATGACATGAAGCAGCATAGTGGCACATATGTTACTGATATTGAATATCTTAAGATATTCGGTAAAAGTGTAGGTCCTGGATGTGATTTTAATTGTTTCTCTTACAATATAGAAATCTATAAATTGTGAAAGAATAGTGATAATGAGTAGTTTGGACTGCTTGGTATTCTTCAATAAAATATTTGTTATGCAGATCAGGAGCAGGTATGTGGAAATATATGGGATATCCAACTTATATCCAGTGCAAATCATCAACCATAGGAATGTTCAGTAATAGACGGTAGAAAAATGCCTATAAATGGGTTCGGTCATAGAAATACCAGCACGTATATATGTCTAAAGTGAAATGGTGTGTGAGCATGCGCTTATGATTAAGGCACTTAAGAAGAAGAGCGAGTGAGTGAGTGAGTGAGTATGGTTTTATGTTACTTTTAGCAATATTCCAGCAATATCACAGCGAATCCGGGTCTTGGGTCTTCGGAGCCTTAACCACTAGGATACCCCACCTCGCCAGAAGAAGAAGAAATTATTTTCTCAAAGTGTCACATGCTGTGGTACAAATTGTATAGACATAGTATGATACATTAAAAAAGAGCACCCAGCCAGTTGGCCTACGAGACACTAATTACTTGATGGTACAAATAAAATATAAAAGTGAATAAGATAGTTATAACCACACACGCACGCACGCACGCACGCACGCACACACACAGTAGGTAGGTTGTGTCAAACACCGATAAATGTTACAGGTTTTTAAGCAGCTATGAAGATATATGTGACTTGCATCTGCATGCATAATTCAGCATATCCAATACAACAAAAGAAACCATTCTCTTCCCCGCCCCCACCCATCCCACACCCAATTCACAGGGTCATTTTGTAAATATTTCACTCTCTCCGACTTGTTAAGTTATAATAAACCCATGCCATGCCGACATTATCTTATTCTCATCTATTTTTGCAATCTTTTGCTCAGTTTCTACATTCAAATTTCGGGCTAGTGAATTATTTTGTGGGCTAGTAACTTTCAGGCATAGGTAGCCCGACTGGGTAACAAAATTTGGAAACCAGGTCGCACACTGACTTGTAATATACTCATGCCAATAATGGTTGTCACCCCTTCAATTTTTTAATTAGAGAGGTGTGGGTGTGTGGGGGTTGGGGTGGGGAGGGGGTGACAACCATTATTGGCATGAGTATATATTAAACATGCTATGCACACCCTCCCTCACCTTCAGTCTGAATGAATAGAACATAGCCGGTGTACAACCTCTTCCGTCTTTCATTCTGTGTGGGTTAGTTGTATATCCGATATACCCTTCCCATCTTTCATTCTGTGTGGTGTAAGTTATATACCCGATAGACCCTTCCGGTCTTTTTATTCTGTGTGGTGTAAGTTATATATCCGATATACCCTTCCCGTCTTTGATTCTGTGTGGCTTAGTTTTTTAACCGATATACCGTTCCCGTCTTTCATTCTGTGGGGGTTAGTTTTATATCTGAGATACCCTTCCCGCCTTTTACTACATAGCTAATTACGACAAAAATCAGAATTATTTCAGAACACAATGGGGTGTTTGAACTATTTCCATTAACGTGGCCGATTATATGATATTTATTACGTGATGTAAATTACATGATGCTTGCATTATAAAACAACACAGTTAATGAAAATGGAACGTCGTACACCATGAGAGGTTTGCTTGAGTGGGAATTGCCACACGATATAAACGATTGAATAACTGACGAGTACAAAAATAATTAGAAACTCTTAAGGTGCTTCCAACCTATATTGGAAAATTAAGTGTTAGCTACATATTTGCAGAGGAATATGGAAATATGTAACTGATAATTTTCAGTGTCTCCTCACAAAAACATTAACTAAATCATATTCGGCGCATAGATCGCCTTAGGTTTAGAGTTAACCGGGAGCAGTACTGCAGTAAATAGGGTTTTACGAAATTGTGGACTGTTTATCCCAGTTCTGGTCGTATGCCAGTTCTGGTCGCTACACAACGTGCAGACTTGCTAAGACAGCCAACATTTGCTGTCAGTTGGCGTCGAATAGGTATGATAACTAGAAACCTTGGTTTGTGATAAACACCGTTGAATAAACGATGAGTAAACGACTTTTCGAGGCGGCTAAACACGCTGATTTGTACGCGAAATACCGTCCCAATTATGGCGAGGACATATATGAGCGCATCTTCAACTTCTGTCGAGATGGTGGAAACTGTTTCAAGCTTGCTGTTGACGTTGGCTGCGGGTCAGGTCAAAGTACGAAGCATTTGACGCGATATTTCAAACAGGTGAGATTTGTAAAAAGAAACAATTCAGGAATTGGTTGTGTCGTTGGTTTAGCTGAGAGATGCCATTTGTTTTTAAGATATTATGTAATGTGTCATTGCGTGTGTGCCTGTGTCTGCGTCCGTGCGTGTGTGTGTGTGCGTGTGCGTTCGCGTGCGTGTGTTTGAGATCAAATATCTTGTCCAACATATACAGGCAATCAAGTGTTTATTTTTTTGCGTGTTTTATATCACAAATTGTGGATTAATTTTTGGGTCGATGTTTACATGCATAAGGCCCCCACTGCGGGTCAGAAAATCGACAAACTAGGCCTCGGTTTAGTATCCACACACCCTACTATATAACATGTAAAGGTTCAGCACAGAAATACGGTGTCATGATCGAAAACCGGACAATTACGCTCACGTCAATGAATATATCGTATTTTATAGGTCTCACAAGTATCAAAAGCTCTTGTCCATATCTCCGATGTGTGTATGGGGGATATACATGCGCTTTCCGTGGGGATGCATTTGGTGGTTTTTATTAAATCGCCAAAGACCGAGTTGCTGTGCCGGAAGTATACAAAACTTTTTATCTAAACAGGGGCTAGTTTATGTATTTCAACCCAGCTCAATTTGCTGGTTAGTGAGCCAGATTCCCTCCGGTGAGTTTGACACTAATCCTTCTGTAAATATTTACACACATGCAGCGTGATGGCTGATGGGTGACACCGTTTGCTGGTAATGTATCAGGTATTAAACCCTCAATCTGTCATATTGATTTATTGAGAGAGAGAGGGGGGGGGGGGGATGTAGCCTAGTGGTTAAGCATTCACTCGTCATGCCAAAGACCCGGGTTCGAATCCCCACATGGGTACAGTGTGTGAAGCCCATTCCTGGTGTCCCCCGCCGTAACATTGCTGGAATATAGCTAAAGCGGCGTAAAACCATATTCATTCACTCACTTTAATGAGGGACGGTTGGATAGCCTAGTGGTTTCCCAACATCGGTACAATATGTGGAGCCTATTTCTCGTGTCCCCCGTCGTGCTATTGCTGGAATAGTGTAGTCCACTAAACAGGGACGCAAGTAATTAAAGTATTTACCTTCCGTGTCGTTAAAATAGTGATGCTTCGCATGTTATTGTTACGGTGGGCCGTGAAGATCCAGGTTAGAATTGATCTTCAGTAACCCATGCTTGTAATAAGAGGCGATTAAAGGGATCGGGTTGTCAGGCGCTGACTTGGTTGACACACGCCATCGTATCCAAGTTGCGTAGATGGATGCTCATGATGTTACTCACCGGATTTTCTGGTCCACATGCGATCCTTTACAGATATTTGTATACACGGTTGACTGAGTTTCAGGTAGTCGGTGTTGACGTCAGCCCCAAGCAGGTAGAGCATGCCGCGTCAGACGTCCCGAATCTGAAGTTTGAAGTGGGCTTCGCGGAGAGCTTCAGCACAGTGATCCCACCTTACACCGCTGACTTAGTGACCATTGCCCAAGCCATTCACTGGGTGGACACAGGAAGGTTTTACGGAGAAGTTGATAAGGTTCTTCGGCCGGGAGGGGCAGTGGTTGTATACGGCTATGGTAACTGTACCTTGGACAACCCTCAAGCACAGGAGATTATATCCAAGGTAAATGAGGTTTGACTGGTACGGTACATTGTGGTGGCGCGTGATCCTGTGCATACAGCTTAGGTCACAAATCAGTTGAAGTTAAGCAGCCTTCAGCTTCGAAGAGTCCTTGGATGGGTGACCGTGATTGGCCGCTTGGCCCCTGAGAGATTCAAGGACTTCTGTCCTGCCCCACAAGGAAGCACATGTGATACATGTGGTGTCGCCTTAGGCAAATGAGTTTATTCAAACATGCCTCTGTTCAACCAGCAGAAAATTGGTACCCGATTGGATAAGTCATGTGACTATAACTTTCTAGCACCTCACATGCAGGTTGGGTTATCAGGGGTAAAACTGGACTATCTGTTTGTATGCTCTTCGATCATGGACTTGGTGTATTGCACTTACCGCTATAGAAGTAAACATTATTATTACATTCTGGAATAGTAACTTAACTTTGTAGCTAAGTCCGATATCTCCCTTAGTTGTGAGTGAGTCAGTAATATTCCAACTACATGGCGGTATCTATCTCATTAGTAAAAACTGAAGGTATTCTGCGTGGCCGCATCGTCGCCTGGTAGACAGAGCGTCTCCCGGAGAGTCTTCCGAAGAGTAGAAGGTCGGTTTTCTGATCCCAAACTACATCATACCAAAATAGATTAAAACATGACACGTGTTGTTACCTCGCCTAATGTGCGTCATTATGGGGAGTCAGTATTCTGTGTGTGAGTGGGGTATCCATGTTACACCGTGACACAGTATCTAAGTGGGTTAGCAATATAGGACTGAGTGGGGTGTCCATGTGACACAGTATCTCAGTGGGTTAGCAATATAGGACTGAGTGGGGTGTCCATGTGACACAGTATCTCAGTGGGTTATCAATATAGGACTGAGTGGGGTGTCCAAGTGACACAGCATCTCAGTGGGTTATCGGTATAGGACTGAGTGGGGTGTCCATGTGACACAGTATCTCAGTGGGTTATCAATATAGGACTGAGTGGGGTGTCCATGTGACACAGTATCTCAGTGGGTTAGCAATATAGGACTGAGTGGGGTGTCCAAGTGACACAGTATCTCAGTGGGTTATCAATATAGGACTGAGTGGGGTGTCCATGTGACACAGTATCTCAGTGGGTTATCAATATAGGACTGAGTGGGGTGTCCATGTGACACAGTATCTCAGTGGGTTAGCAATATAGGACTGAGTGGGGTGTCCATGTGACACAGTATCTCAGTGGGTTAGCAATATAGGACTGAGTGGGGTGTCCAAGTGACACAGTATCTCAGTGGGTTAGCAATATAGGACTGAGTGGGGTGTCCAAGTGACACAGCATCTCAGTGGGTTATCGGTATAGGACTGAGTGGGGTGTCCATGTGACACAGTATCTCAGTGGGTTATCAGTATAGGACTGAGTGGGGTGTCCATGTGACACAGTATCTCAGTGGGTTATCAATATAGGACTGAGTGGGGTGTCCATGTGACACAGTATCTCAGTGGGTTAGTATAGGACTGAGTGGGTGTCCAAGTGACACAGTGTCTCAGTGGGTTGCAATATAGGACTGAGTGGGGTGTCCATGTGACACAGTATCTCAGTGGGTTAGCAATATAGGACTGAGTGGGGTGTCCAAGTGACACAGTATCTCAGTGGGTTAGCAATATAGGACTGAGTGGGGTGTCCAAGTGACACAGTATCTCAGTGGGTTAGCAATATAGGACTGAGTGGGGTGTCCATGTGACACAGTATCTCAGTGGGTTAGCAATATAGGACTGAGTGGGGTGTCCAAGTGACACAGTATCTCAGTGGGTTAGCAATATAGGACTGAGTGGGGTGTCCATGTGACACAGTATCTCAGTGGGTTATATAGGACTGAGTGGGGTGTCCATGTAACACAGTATCTCAGTGGGTTAGCAATATAGGACTGAGTGGGGTGTCCATGTGACACAGTATCTCAGTGGGTTAGCAATATAGGACTGAGTGGGGTGTCCATGTGACACAGTATCTCAGTGGGTTATCGGTATAGGACTGAGTGGGGTGTCCATGTGACACAGTATCTCAGTGGGTTATCAGTATAGGACTGGCATTAGTCCCAACTAGTAAATGTGCACCCAATCCAACCCCGATCACGCACACACGTGCATACATGTTGCAGTATAGTTGCAATAGTCTTGAACGCGACAATAAACGTCATTTAACCTCACTTTATATTAAGGCAATCTTTCTATTTATTCTACAAGTATCGTGTTTTTTTGTATAAAAAATGACTCAGAATGTGATCTGGTAATTTCCTTACGTTTCAGTAAAAGCGGCTTAAAACATCACTCACTCACAAGATCCTTACCTATAGATGGGCACGCAACGTCAGCGTTGCCTCATTAAATATGACGTCTATGACAACCTGCAGTAATACATCATACGTTTCTCTTCTAATTACAGTTCTACTGGGGGACACTGAAGGGCTACTGGGACGATAAGAGGGACCATATCAACTCTCATTACAGAGAATTTTCTTTACCCTACCAAGGCTTCTTCAGGTTGATATGCGTCTTCAATACTCCTGGGCCTAGATTTTCGAAGCTCTCTTAGCGCTAAGATAGTCGTAAGTTAATGTTAATGTATGGCACTTACGACTATCTTAGCGCTAAGAGAGCTTCGAAAATCCAGACCCTGCTTTATAACCAGAGCCACCGATCTCGAATACTGGCCACAGACATACATACAAATGAGCAGTAAACTTCTTTCAATCATTCATAGTTGCTGGTTAATATCACCGTGAGACTGCTAAGGACACTGACGGAAGTGTAGGTGCTTCAAAAACTTTCCCATCTAAAGCTAAATCAGTAGAAAAAAAACGGCCCTTCTGTTAGAATCCCACCACTAATATCAGCTGACAAGAGAACCGAATGAATCTTTACTCAGAAAACCAAGAATTTCTGATCGACATATATAAAAGACAGAGGCCATCTTATACAGAATCTATTTCACTATCGCGTTTCAGTAATATCGTAGTATTCGTTTCCTTTATCGCATGTGTAACATCAGTCCTAATAATGTCTCTTCTGACAGGGATGAGAGTTTGAAGATTTCCAAGGAATGGACAGTTGACCAATTCGTTGGCTACCTTGCCTCTTGGTCAGGTTGGCAGTCTTACCTAAAAGCACATCCTTCCGCTTCTGACCTCGAGAACATCAGGCAAACGTAAGTAGTAATGTGTTGACAGGTAGGCTCGTGTTGTTTTTAATGCTCTAGGTCCCGATCCTCAAAGCGTTCGTAGCACCATGCCATCCGTGCATGTGGTAAACTATAGAGTTACGACAAGTCGTAACGTTACGAACGCTTTGTTGATCGGGACCCTGAATCTTTTCTCATAAGTATTTAAGAAGGGGACACGTGAAAGGCCGGTACAATGCACATTTTCAATAAAGTCTCATAAAGCAAAGTTCCTCCGAAAGAAAATTATTGAAAATTCCAGTTCCAAATGTATGTTTTATACTTACATTCCACGTGATAGGTAGTGAAGAAGATAGGGACGAGAGACTGATTTTCCAAAAGTTTAAGTTACAGTATTGTGAATAAATTGTCTATATTTATTCCGACAGTGAATAAGCTATTGAAAACGTTTTGGGCCTTCCGGACCGCGGAAAAAAAACCCTGTTTTTCTTTTTATTTCAAATATTTGGGCAACACAAACTAACAAACAACTTACAGTCACAGCACTCTTGGAAATCTTGTTCATTGTATTATTTCCTGTTTCAGGTTGGCGACCTTATATAAACCCTCAGCTGGGGAAGAATCTAAAGTGAATATATCATGGCCTGTATTTATGTTGCTGGGTCAGAAACCAAAGGATTAATCTCTATGCAGTTTGAGGATGTTTTATATTAAAGGCAGAATGTCGGGTATACTCAGTACATGACCTACACAATATATGACAGACACGATTTGTCAGAGATGACGAGCAAACGTTTTTACCACTATAGTCTGTTTGACTTCATTTTAGACCGATGAATTGCTCACTAACACAAAATCTAATAATTGCAACAAAACCAAATTGTGTACAGTCACATGAAATCGTCAGACCAGCTCTGATGGTTTGTCTCATAATTTTGGACACCCGAATAAAAAAGTTGTTTAACAAACGATCATTATTCGTTGTCACTTGTCGTTATTTCTTACGAGGTGTGTGTGTGTGTGTGTGTGTGTGTGGGGGGGGGACCTCTCCCCTCTGTTCTACCTGCAAGTGTTCTACCACTTGCAGGTAGAACAGCCAGGGTGATGTTGTACAAAACAACCTTAGAGTTAAGACTACCTTAAATCTATGTTAAGGTATGGGAGTTACGGTCACCTTAACGCTAAGTTCGCTAACGCTCGCACACAAATTGCTGTTCTACCAGCAAGTGGTCCTCCCTCGTAGGAAATAGCGAAAAGTGACAAGAAAATAATGACTGTTTGTTAAACAACTTTTTTATTCGGGTGTCCAAAATTATGAGACATATCATCAGAGTTGGTCTGTCGACTTCATGTGACTGCAAAGTTTCATTATGTTGCATGTATTAGATTGTGTGTCAGTGAGGTATTTATCGGTGTAATATGAAGTCAAACGGACTATTTCTAGGCTACCTCGCCGCCCAGGCTCACGACACTGGTAGCGCTATTAAAGCCGCTTTACACGTATGTAATGACGTGTGCCACTACCTCAAGTCTATTCTGATGTCTTGGATTTACAGTCCTCGGGCTTTGGTCGTTGTCCATGGCGGTCCCGACATGTGCTGTATTTGTTGCACTGAAGAATAATAGTCAGGGCTCGATTTAGTGCTTGTTACTTGCACTGGTGCAACTCAATATCACAAAGTGCAACCTAGTTATTAGTCAAAAGTGCACCATGTGCAAGTCAATTTTTTTGGGAGAAATAAATCAATAATAAATCTAAGTATGTCAGTTCATTTTTCTTCTAAACTTTGAATAGCTATGGCACCGAAACATTGCCATTTATAGACACTTTTCGGCTATGACAGCTCTTGTAAACAGGGATCAGCTGCGTATCTGTGTTGCTATGATTTCATGGGTACTACGTCACGGAAATATGTTTATGTGCACCAAAACCTCTGACGTTTTAGCACACTACATTGCAACTGGAATTTGGCTGGTGCAACTAGGTTTTTATCTTAGGTTGCACCTGGTGCAAGTAGGTTAACATCTCTTAAATCGAGCCCTGATAGTCAAAAAAAAAAGAAAAGAAAAAGGGAATAATAGTCCAAAGCGTTCGTAGCGCTACGACATTCGTAACCCTTTTTTAAACTATACATTATCGAATCTGGACAGGCAAACCGGTGATTGATATCATGAGCAAAGTTCCACTCATGTGAAGCCACGTGACCTGACCTCCCGATCCAGTGTATGTACCTGAGGACAGATTTTGTTGTTTGTTCTTCTGTATCACTACACTAATCCAACAATTGTGTGTTATCTTTAGATGTACCACGGGTCTGTCTCTGTTTGTTTTAGCAGAAATATACACATAATCTTTCTTATTTGTTCGTCTGCTTGTTTGAGGGAGCACATTGTAACGGCAAGGCCTTAGACGAGCGAACGGTTTATCCTCTAGACTACCTCATCGCTCAAATATTACTGTTATGCAGAAGGTGCAGTGGTCCATTATATCTTTGGTGTGTTATAACAAACGTTGTTGGGCTTAACGTTGTTTGAACGGTATTCATGTTTTATGACGGTATGCAATGAAAAAGCGTCAGCCTTGCAGGCAGTACATGATTCTGACCATTTTAACCAAACATTTACGGATCCTACTACGATGAAGGGACGGAACTCACGCTGCCTTAGACCTCCGCACCACGTGTGCACCTTTAATACTTGTAGGTGAGTGAGTGAATGAGTAAGGTGTAACGCTGCTTTTTAAGAAGCAGTATTCCAGCAAATCACGGCGGGGTACATATAACAAAAGAAATAGGTTTTACTAACAGTACCCATGCGGGAATCAAACCCAGGTCTTAGTCGTGACGAGCGAACGAAGTAACCACTTGGTACCTCATCGCCCAAATATGATGGACTTCAACTAACGCAAACTACTAAGTAAAACGATAACAGAATACTTGATCATCCAACGTTCATGGAAAAACAACAACAACAAACGCATTAAAATGTAATAAAAAGGTAGATGTTTTTTCCAGGTGTTATTCAAGCACAGGTATTACGGACACAGGTGTCTGTTGCACTTGGTTGTCGAGCAGCATTGTTGGCATAAATATACATTGTCGTGCAGGTCTCGCTTGCCAACTGTCGGGAACCGTTTAATGATCTCGCAGTACTGAAAGGATTAAAACAAAATTGATTCTTTTTAAAATCATTAGGTCAACGAAATATTTGCAAAACCAATATTTCGAAGGTACAAATATGAACGAAAAATGAACGAACTCATTATTGTCCTGTGTGTTAAAGCAAATAAAAGTGATGTGTAAAACAGTCCGGTGGAAGGTTTAATTATATATTTTTTCAATGGCTTTGATATATTGATTTTATATCTGAAATAAGATTCGTTAGGATGAATACAAATATACTGTTCGCAAGATATTTATGATTTCCAGATTCAGAGGTGATTGGGTCCAGATCAGTAAACAGCTCTGTGCGACAGTATTAACACCACTGCCGAAGTCCATGTTGGGTGAATGTCCCACCTAGGATCTAGTCGGACCGCCTCCGTGGTGTAGTGGTTAGAGCGTCCGCCCGGAGAGCGGAAGGTCGCGGTTTCGATCCCCGACTGCGTCATACCAAAAGACGTTAAAATATGGTACTTGTTGGTCCCTGTCTGGCGCCGGCGCTCGGCATTAATGGGTACAACAAGGACTGGTCGGCTCGGAGTCAGTATAATGTGTCTGAGTGGGGTATTCATGCTTCACTGCGGCGTGGTATCTCAGTGGGCTAGCACTATAAAACCAGCTTCAGTCTGGGCTAGTACAAGCAGCTGCACATACACACGCATGCACGTCGTCATATGAGCGAAATATTCTCAAGCACGACGTTAAACCCAATTTCACCTCACCTCACCTAGGATCTAGTCTCCTGAAACCCATGCTTATAAGCGCAATCTAACTGGTAGCAAGAGTTTCTGATTTGGTCGATGCATGTATCTCATGGCGTAGAGCGATGGTCATGATATCAGTCATTGGATTGTCTGGTTCAGAGTATAATATTAACCATCGTCCTATAGCTGAAATATATTTCTGAGTGCGGCGTTTAACACTACCAACATCATCAACAACAACAACAACAACGACAACAGTAAAGACAGCAACAACCACACGTTCCAGTGTTGTACGGGGGATTACCTGGTTAGGTTTGCAGCCGAGTGTGTAATGGGTCACGCCTTGTGGGTTAACGTACTTTCCTGCGAAACAGTCCTGTAATACAGATACGACACTCAGTGATAACTCAATAAAGTACACCCTCGAAGTCCCGGACACGGTATGTCCAGAAACTAAGTTTCCTTAAAGGTTTTGTACTGTACGTCCTCAGACATACCGATGAGATTATAAGGCAATGCCCGTGGAAAGAAAGGCCGTGGATCGAATCCCCTGCTCGGGTCATTACCAACGACGATAAAATATGGCTCTGATAAACTGCTCACGGCACAATGATGTAATTATTTATCAATATTTGAGCCTTTAAAGGATTTTTGTTTGTTTTCCACGTTGGGACAACAAAGGTTTCGGTGACTTCTTATCCCTATCGAAAGTGAAGTTATGGAAAACGGGGTACTTGTTGTTTCCATGCCTGGTGCTCGGCATCAAGGCAATAACAAGGACTGGTCAGCTCGGAGCCAGTACACTGACCATGTCACAAATCAGTTTTAGTTAAGCAACGTTGGTCACGGAGAGTCCTTGGATGTGTGACCATGTTTGGCAGCTTGACTCCTGAGAGTTTCCAGCGCTTCAGTCCTGCCCCACAACGAAGCACACATGACACATGCGATCTCACCTAAGGCGAGTTTATTCATAAACTGCATCTGTTCACCCAGCAGTGAATGGGTACCTGGTGGGATTGTATCCTCCCAAAACTTCCACATCCCATAACTTCCACAGCTTGTAACAACAACATTTCTGGTTGACTGCACACACTTTACCATACTGATTACCTCAGTCTGTAATGGTTTAACCCATTTATCAGTAATGAATACAAGCTATCACTCAGTAATATATTAACATAAATACATATCTTTTCTAGTTAGATATGACAATCTATGTACACCATTTATATAGAACTTATGTCCAAAAGTGTCTAGATTTCACCTGCACATTTGACGGTCATAACCCTGTCACTGTCATGTGGTTGGAGCAAGTGGACGGTTCCGTGGACTGCCGTGACATGCAGTCTTTACCTGGTTTTTACATGACAGGCACATCGATAAGTAAATGTTTTGCCTATTCCATATTCTTCAAACATTCTGAAATATCTGACTGACAAATTTCATAAAATTATCTTTTAAAGTAAAGATATAAAACTGGCTATTATTAAAATTGTCACTACCGTTATTGTGTCACTACCATAACAATTAGTGCCAATGTCCATACCACAACATTATCAATTTCATTATTTAATTAAAATTGATTTATGTGTTTATGTTTGGAATTTGTAGTCAACTATGTTTGGTAGTAGAGCTTCAAGTAAGCGTAATACAATTCATATTCTCATTTTGAATTTTTTGCTACATATTTTATATTTGCAAATCAGAATTGAAAGGAATTATTTGGCTTGTTGTCCCCTTTTAAGCAATAAATATAAAATTTCAAAACCCATTAGCCATGTTATATTGTAAAACTACATATTTTAATATACATGTTCATTAAATGTACGTTAAGCTTGCATAATTTATGTTTTGTATATTCAGATTACTATGAACGTAATCAACAACATGTCAAGGTAAAACAAGAAAACAAAATTAACAATTTTTGCAACATGAAATATGCAGAAATGAAATAACTGCTCTCTTCTCTACTAAAATCTTTCCTCGGCTAAGTCAGGTGATATATCATTATCTGTTGTTTCCGTTCAGTGCACTTCCTGGGCTATCCTATTACCTAAAAAGGGGTGATGAGCAGTTGTTGTTTTAACAATGTGTGGTAGTTTTGGGATGTGGACGTTTTGGGATATAACTGGTGGGATAAGTCATATTATGCTCGGAACATGCCTGTGCGGCCTAATCTACCAGTGGATACTTAAATCAGGACGAATTAACAAGGAGATGTACCCGTGAAAATTCGGGGATAGGATTGGTCTTCAGCAACCCATGCAAATAAAAACAAATGATTGGGTTACCCCGAATTAGTTCGAATTCGTAGTTCAGATCATACCTCATTTTCGGAACAGAGGATGTCGTCATCGCACGTTTTGTCGATCTGTGAATTGTAAACATCCTTGCAGAAGGAGCACGTGATCCGTGAGGCCGCGGTTGCTAGGCAACACACAACGGAGACTAGAAAAGAATTAAATCTGTCAGCAAAACATGAATATGAGGGTAGTATTGGTATTGTTTGGAGTGAGTTAAGTTTTACGCCGTTTTTAGCAGTAGTCCGGCAATATCACGACAGGGGACACCGGCTATTAAGCTTCACATGTTGGGAGTTGAACCTCAGTCTTCGGTGTGACGAGCGAACACCTATGAACATTACTTTTAGTAATAGTGATATAAATTTAACATCACATCGGCAGTGTTTCAACTATGTCGGACCGCCTCCGTGGTGTAGTGGTTAGAGCGTCCGCCCGGAGAGCGGAAGGTCGCGGGTTCGATCCCCGACTGCGTCATACCAAACGACGTTAAAATATGGTACTTGTTGGTCCCTGCCTGGCGTTCGGCATTAATGGGTACAACAAGGACTGGTCGGCTCGGAGTTAGTATAATGTGTCTGAGTGGGGTATTCATGTTTCACTGCGGCGTGGTATCTCAGTGGGCTAGCACTATAAAACCAGCTTAAGTCTGGGCTAGTACAAGCAGCCACACATACACATACACACACATGCACGTCGTCATATGAGCGAAATATTCTCAAGCACGACGTTAAACCCAATGTCACCTCACCTCACCTCAACTATTTCGGGATGATACATAAACACATGCCAGTGCATATATTCGAAATCGTACAACGCACTATATTTCATGTGATTATGGAAATTTAATGGCTTTAATTTTGTTGCTTATATTTACCACAAAATAAAAGTATCCCAATAAACTTAAGTTTTGAATGTTTTGAGTGTTGGTTAATCATTTAGCACAAACCACATTGAGTATGGTTTTATATCGCTTTAAGACATATTCCAGCAAATATCATGATGGAAGTCACCAGAAAGGTGGCTCTCATTGCCCCCATGTAAGAAATCGAACTCTGTACATCTTCGGTAATATGTCATCGTATCCCAACTGCGTAGATAGATGCTGATGATGTTGATCACTTGATTGTCTGGTCCAGACTCGGATATTTACAGACCGCCGCCATATAGCTGGTATATTGCTGAGTGCGGCGTAAAACTAAACTCACTGACTCCATCGAACTCTGACGTGACGAGCGAACGCATTACCCACTAGGCTACACCATCGTCCACATTAATAGGAAGGTAATCAGTCTGAATTAAGAATGTTACATGTTCCTTGAATGTTACCGATAATAAGAAACTGAAGTAAGGATGTGTGGTATTATACTGATTTACGGTGGAAAACAAACGTACTCGATCTACATTTCAAGCTTTAGAGGTCACGATATTGAGGCTGAGGTACTGCCCCAGTTGAATTGGGGTTCAAGCAGTATTGTTCTCTGAATTGTAACTTATAGCCTGTAATTATAAGTCAGTTCATCACCGGGGCCTGGGGTAGCCCAGTGGTTAAAGCGTTCGCTGGTCACGCCGAAGGATACAATGTGTGAGGTCCATTTTCTGGTGTCCTCCGTCGTGATATTGCTGGAATAATGCTAAAAGCGGCGTAAAACCCAATTCACACACTCACTCATTTCTTAACCAACATATGACCTCTGTATACACAATGCTAGCTCTTTAACCTGGACCCCGATAGCCCTAACGACGTATGGATCACGTTAGTCTCAACCCTTTCAGTATTGACCTGGATAGTCCTTATTGCCAGAGTGAGTGAGTGGTTTTACGCCGCTTTTAACAATATTCCAGCAATATCACGGCGTTGGACACCAGTAATGAGCTTCACACATAGCACCCATGTTGGGAATCATCTTCGGCGTGACGAGCAAAGGCTTTAACCACTAGGTTACCCCACCGCCCCTTATTGCCAGAGAGTGCTAGAGATAATCTATAACGGATACTACACATTCCAATGATTCGTTAATCCAGAAACCTGTGCACTCCACTGAGGACGCTATCGTACGTATAAACATCAGAATAATAAAAAGGAGGTGAGTACGTTTGGTTCATGGCCGCTGTGAAATGTATTCCATTTATATCACGGCATGTAAACTTGGTATGGGAGCAAAGCCCAAAGTTGACATTATAACTACATTTTTTCGATCTCCAAAACAAACAGTATTATGTCCACCGATCCTGGATCATTATCAGGTTATATCGTATCGAATCTACAATCAGCGGCTCCTTGTGCAGCTAAGGGACGCACCTACGCACACCGTATTGCTACGTCCTAGCCACCCGAGCTCCCTGCTGGTGAAATATGTTAATGTAAGTGTTAGTTACCTTGTATCAGGTAGACCAGTACGTGACCCGACATAGCGTCGCGAGGTGCTCTACACTCCCTGCTGGATGTAGCTTAGCATATGTACATGATAAGATACAAGACACTTTGTTACTGACCTAAGGATATTTATAGTAAAACCACAAATAGACACAAATAATGAACACACACATATATACGCTCGCAAACAGACACGCACGCGCAGTCACGTGTACTTGTTTTTGTGTGAGTTATATAAGGAGTATTTCTTTGTTAAACGTCCTCAATGAAACATGCTTAAGAAACAATATGCTGTTTTTCACGCATAAATACACCTAACTTTCCCTTTGCCTCCACCGTTTCAAATGAAATTAAACAACTGAAAAATATTGAAAACTTGATTGAGTTTTGAATTCAAATATTTTAAATATTTACTTTTCTTCCACATATAACATCGATGCATTGTCTGATCGGCGTTTAATACTATCAATTGCCCACTCACTCATGCATACAAACACATGATCAAAGCAACCTCTAAATTTAAACATATAGCGTTAACCCGCAGGGCTAACGGTATGTGAATCAATCCTCTGGAGGCCTCACGTAAGAGGCGACTAACGGGATCGGGTGGTCAGGTTCGCTGACTCGGTTGACACATGTCATCGGTTCCCCATTTCGCTTATCGATGCTCATGCTGTTGATCACTGGATTGTCTGGTCCAGACTCGATTATTTACGGACCGCCGCCATATAGCTGGAATATTGCTGAGTGCGGCGTAAAACTAAATTCACTCACTCACTCTGGAGGCCTCACGCCAATAGATAAGACAAAGAAAGTACAGATAAACACCGTTGTGTCGAAGCTGAAGGGGTTATGCGAATACTTCCAGTTGTTCGAAGTACGACACAACCTGAAAAAGGGATACGCAGGGACCAAGCTTTTATTTCGAGACAACCGTGAGTTCGAGTTATAAACGTTCGACACAACAGTGTTGGACTGCACTTTCTGTTACCTTGCCTGGCGCTTTACAAGGGACAACACAAGGAGTCGTCAAATTGAAGTCGGTATAATGTATTCGAGTAACGTATCCATATTAAGCCGCGTAATGATACTTCAGTGGATTAGCGAAATGATAACGGTATAAATCCGGCAAAGAAAGTTTACATTTGACATCTGTATTTGACATAAAATAACAAACCTAAATCTGAAAACATTCGCCAGAACACGGCAAAATTAAGACAAGTAAACCCACTGAATCAATATCAATCAAAAACATCAAGATCGAATTATAATTGTATCTTGTTTCATTTGGGACCACCATCACACATGCGGGTAAACTTCTTTTTATCCGGTAGTGAAGCACACACACACACGCACGCACGCGGGCACACGTCGCTTTAAGTGCAATGATCAGGGACACAGCGTTTGCTTCATCAGTTGTAAAATCATCTGCGGTCATGCCAGATGTCCAGTAGACGGCGTTATTTTGTAACATATGTACACCGTTTGTCTCGAAGTACGGACGTATCGAAATATTTTATACTTTTGATGACCTTTTAAGGTGAAATTGAAGTTGACTTAAACTCTTTGACTTCACATATTCTCACGATCTTGGGCGATCGAAATCTAATTTGTAAACAGTATTTGTGGTTGAATTAGGCTCGAAAGTTGTTGTCTAAAACCTTGGTTCTATTACAGGCTTATCGTAGACCGCGTGCTATATTTAATCCTCATATCTGTGAAGGTCAAGCGTTGGGTGAAGCTACTACTTAGCAACTCTGTAAACATGACATTGAAGCTACCATTTACCTTGATTGTCACAGGTATGTTCTTTAGTAAAACGTATAGTCCAGTTGTCAGATGACGTTGGTCAGATTGCAGTTGTCAGATGACTGATGTCAAATTACCCAATTTAGCTCTGTTGTCACCATGGTGACGTGGTGACAGAACAGCTTCCAGGGCCACGTTCCACAAAGCGATCGTAGCACTAAGAAAAATCTAACGTCCATACTTTAAAAATATATTGTCCTTACAGTAGTTTTTATCGTTTTGTGCAGCGGGTACCTGCAACCTGTTCTCGTCGTATGAAGCTATTAAATGGAATAAGTGGTCAGATTTGATGACCTAGTTGGTTGTGAGTCATGTTTACCTGGACGTTGCTCTTAATATCAGTCACTGGATTGTCTGGTCCAGACTCGACTATAGTCTCCAGTTGAAATATTGCTGAGTACGGCGTTATCCAAAGAGTAACTGTTTTTTGACTGTTTTGAAACAACTCTAGCATGCCATCACCATTATTATATATCATGCAAGTGGAATATATTTAAATCATAACATTGCAAAGTAGCACAAATAAGATAAGATAAAAATGTTAATTCTATTTTCGGTAAACGTATAAAAAATATAGAGGGTCTGTTAGTCTGATTGACAGAGTAGTGCATGAACCTATTATACACATGAATCAATTTTCTTTTTGTCCAGGCCTTACTCTTATGGGAAGACTATCTGTGATTGGAGGTCGATTATCTGACAGACAGATCAATAATGTAAGTGAATCCTTCACCTTTCCCCTTGGTTCAATAAGTTTCGGGGTTTGTCCCAGACCAATGAAGATCCGGGTTAGAATTGGTCTTCAGTAAGCCATGCTTGTCATAAGAGGCGACTGGCGGGATCGGGTGGTCAGGCTCGTTGACTAGGTTGACACATGTCATCGGTTCCCAGTTGCGTAGATCGATGCTGATGATCACAGGATTGTCTGGTCCAGACTCGATTTATATTTACAGACCGCCGCCATATGGCTGGAATATTGCTGAGTGTGGCGTTAAACAACAAGCCATCCAGCCAACCAACCAACCAAGCCACCATGTGCCCTTGGTCTTCGTGAGTTCTCTCGCACCCAGCTGGTCCACCGCGATTTACATAACAGAAATACTCTTAGACTCGACGTACCCAAATAACTCACATGCCGCACAATTCCCATCTTATCGGAAGACGATAATCACGCGTGTTTTATGTCTTACTGAACGTGAAGGGACTAGATTCAAACAATGCTGTGTGCGTATTATTCTCTCATTGAAATACGTCAATATTTGGCGTCTTTTTGTTTTCAATTTATACTTATATTTATTGTTGTGAGGCGCGTTCAAGATGGCGGAGAGTGGTCCCTACTGCTACGCCTGTGACAGCGTCAACTTCCCCAGCGAATGTGAACATGTAGAGCTGTGTGAGACAACGGAGGTAATACGACAACTAAAACCACTTGACTAGTCACTTCCGGAATATGGTCATCCATTGTGTTTCTCATCAATATTCTCAGATTCAAAGAAAACTGGTTGACGACGGAAGAATGAAAATGATGATGATGATGATGATGATGATGATGATGATGATGATGATGATGACAATGGTGCTGCTACTGAAGACACTTCATTTGATTTAGAATACGCACTGATAAGATGCATGTTGTCTCGAATCCATGATTATCCAGGGGTCAAGCGCCGTCGATGCCAAACCGGAAGTTGGTAGTTTTTGAGAATTCTCTTGTCTCAAATGCCTTTTGTGATTATATAGAAAGAATCCATTTTTCAGTTGTATTGAGGGTTGAGCTCAATGAAGGGATATTTTGGCACATAGACCTATCATTATGTCTCTCTGTCGGATATTTAGAGCATCAGGGTTTAAACTTGTTATCAAACGTTGACTGTAATAAAGCAAGGCATTGGCCATACGATGGGCATGAAGTTCAACGGTGCACGTGGTTTGAAACAAAAGTTCGAAAGGAACCGTCTGAAGGCAGCTACAGTATCAGTTTCATCATCATCATCATCATCAAAATCAAAATCATCATCAACAGCGACAACATCATCATCATCCAAATAATGATTTAACTGGCACATGGATTATTTATTTTGAATCTTGTCAGTCAAATAATGAACTCGTACTCAGAATCACGGTATTTTCTAAAACCAGATAAATTACTTACATTAAATCAGAACATACTCAGATCTTTTTATCAGATGTATCAAATAGTTGTATGTTTTGTCGCTTCGACCTCTTCGGCTGTATGTCAGAACTGTCTCCCACTGTTTCTTGCAGGTATGTTTTACTCAGCGGTACACAAGATCAGATAACATGACCGTCTATCGCATGGGATGTCGCCCGTCAACGGTGAGTACACAGACCGATCATAAACACCGTCCTGACCCCAGTTTGTATTCTTTCGGCACATTATGAATTCAGTTCCGTTTCCAAATTTGTAAAACTGTTGTGTATTCCAAAGTTGCACTTCTGATAGTATCATTACTTTCCGGAAGAGAGTGATGTAGTTCTTTATTTTGCAAAATCACAATTCTTCTAAAAATATATTCCAATCTTGTGAAGAACATCTTTGCATCCTTGAGCGACAAAGTGCTGTTTCGTGATGTAACATTTCTATGAATACAGTTATAAACTGCCTAGCAAACCAGACTACACACCTACAGTTGATTGTGACTAAGATTTCTTCAAACAAGAAAAGGTTATACTTTTGGGGTGATACAGGTGTTGTCATGGGTTTGTTTCGTACCTCAAGTCAACAGTATTTCGGCGGTTGTTTTAAGCCTTTTAGAGTTTCGCTACAATTTAACTTTTGTAATGTTTTCTCAAATTCAAATTTTCAAGTGTGATTGCACTTTCTTTTGACCTGCAGTTTAGGAATGATATTTTGAAGCAACAAACGAAAACAAATCGTAGGTTGGAGCCGAGTGTAGGTTAGTGACAAGGAACAAGTCTGCATTACCTCCATGAACTATTAAAGGGGAAGTGTACACGAATAAATCATGTTTATTCTTATGTGAAACAAAATGGAATTTTGTAATAAGTTAATATCAGTGTTTGAAAATATACACTAATATTTCTTACAACGAAAGTATAATCCTCAATATAAGTACTGAAATGTTATGCCATTATAAGACCTGTGTTTGCCCATTCGTCACCACTCGCCCCTTTCCGTAACCTCCAAGAAGATTCGTCCCCGTCTCGATGCTTGTTATGTGCGAAAATACTACAAACCAATCAGAACGCGCGTAAAGGTTGCGGTGCTTTGATAAAAATAATCCCGACTACTTAAATCGTTTATGGCATTATGTTATTGTTGAAAAATATGAAAATTATATATATATCGTCATATTGAAAGTACTAAGAACGTAGCTAACAGAAATGTGCTGTCTAATGTGAAAGTTTTGATAAGAATCATGCGATTGACGGTGAGAAATTAAAATACACGAATGTGCGTTTGTTGACATAACGGCTCTCACTGGTTCAACTGAGTGTATTTCTGACGATGTTATGGGCTTGTTGTGGTGATTGTACGTGCGCTTCCAACAGTTTTAGGAAATGTAATTATAAATCGCTACGAGTTTCAAAACAATAATATCTGTATGTAACTAATTAACTTTAATCTTTAGCATTGGGCTTATATTTCATATCTCTGGGGATATTTTAGTCTGACTTGTGTTTGGTCATTCATATTTTTATTCAGCGAATTCAATTAAAATTCCACCAGGGGTATGGCAACAAGGTTACAGGAATGTTCAGTTTGAGAAATATTTTATAGCCGTTTTTGAGTATCTGCTTTGGGATTAATGTACCTGAATTGTTTTATATTTTATTTGCATATTCAATAAAACAAATCCCATTTGTGATTATCAAATCCTATTTGGAAATATATAATTGGAAATATTAGGTGAACAGCTGGTAATAATTACGTCAGAACATGGCTTTAAAATATGTTTTTCTCCTTCTTTTAGTTGTATCAAAGATGTTTAGTTCTTTCAAATAAATAAGCAAAATAAAAAAAAGCAATACAATGTACGAGTGCTTCGGTGATATTAAATATCATTGGAATCAAACAGGGATAGAGTTATCGTTCTTGTTTAAAGTAGTTCTGATGTTCATGCGCCAATATGAAAACCTTCCAGTGGGGCACGAGTCGCTATTCGGCTTGTCCCGGAATAACACGAGTTGGTCACGAATGGTGTTGCCAAGATAAAACAGGCCAGAGTTACCGCCCTTTGATTATGACGTAATTGGTGCAAATTTAATCTCCTGTCTAGTCCCAAAGCAAAAGATATACATACTGACCTTAATCACGTGAAAAAAATGTGAAAATACGAACGAAGCATTATAACTGAAAATGTAGACAGCAAGATAGAAATGATCGTTAGTATTTTCATTCATAACCTCGCCTAACAGAAAATACCTAACATGTATAACAATGTACGTATTGAAAACAAGGGTGATAACTCATTTACCATTTTGTGCTTCCTGCAGGAGTGTGGCCCTGCTGGTCTCCCAGACAACTGTCTGTCATGCTGCAACATCAGCCACTGCAACAGTCTCCTATGTGACAAGTATGGTAAGATGGAACACGAAAAGTAAACTTCGAAGAATGTTTATAGCTACAAAAACATGGCATAATACTCAACTGCCATGAGTATCTTGGATATCGTTCAAAATCAATAAATTTGCTATTTTCGAATCGAATTTACAACTTTGAAATATGGTAGGTGACAAATTCATAAATTTTCTTACTCCCGTCTTTATTGAACCAAATTATGTTTACACAAACTTACCAGATTACGTTTTACGGCTTGTTACTTGAATGAGTGATGGTATAATACATATGGTAATATTTAACACTAAAATGTTGTTTTGATTCTCAATTCCATTAAATAGAAACTCATTGTATGAAATTCTTTCTTTTGCCCCAGAGATTACATTAGTTTCAGTTCCGTGTAATACTTTTACAACAGAGGCTCGGAAATTACAACTTCCCCCGTCACACTTACACCACCGGCGTGGACGTTCATGAATTCTAGAATGTCTCGCTTTCAAATCTCGCTGATCACAAAGAAGTTCAAATTTGATTCACGATTATCATTTTGAATATGATGAAACATAGCGTGCCATTACTGCTGGCAGTGCGATCTGATTTTATCTTCAAATGCTGTTCACTTCCAGCGGCGACACATCGGCCCTGCTACAAATGTGACGATCTCATACAACCGGGAGATTGTGAGATCATCACTCCATGTGACCTCAAACACGAGGTGAGGCGTAACGTGTAACGGTGAAATGGTGTTCAACGTTGCGTTGAAGACTAACACAACTAGATAGCGACGTACATGCACGTGTTTGTGTGTTTATGGCTGCACGTGCAAGTCCTGGTAGATGTAAGTGCCAGTCCACTCAGATAAGGGTGGTGGGTTGGCCTAATGTTAAAACGTTCGCTCTTCACGCCGATGGGCCCGGTTCGATTCCCTTCATTGGTACAATGTGTACCATTGGTGTCCCCCGCCGTCATATTGTTGGAATATTGCTAAAAGCGGTGTAAAACTGAACTCACTCACTCTTTTTATCGGTAATATACAGTGAACGTAACATGTTTGATTGAGACGTATTTCTTACAATTACCTTCTTGTTTGTGTGGACGATGGTGTAACCATTGAATTGATTTTAATAAGATCTTAAGCAACCCATGCTTGCCCTAAGAGGCGACTAACGGGATCTGGTGGTCAGGCTCGCTTACTTGGTTGACACATGCCACCGTATCCAAGTCGCGTAGATCGATGATCGATGATCACTGGGTTGTCTGGTCCGGATTATTGACAGGCCATATAGCTGGAATATTGCTGAGTACGGCGTAAAACTAAACTCAATCACTCAGATACCATGCCACACGGGTACGTAAGTTGGAAACAGTATACTGACTCCGAGCACATCAGTCCTTGAAAATTCCTTTGACTGTAAATGCAAGGCAGGGTCACAAAAAGTACCATCTTTTTCTGTCACTTTGGTTTGACGCGGCCTGGAATCGAACCACGACCTTCCGCTATCTGGGCAGACCCTTTGTCCACCACACCACGGAGACTGGTTATATACAAGAAGTGGGCTGTCAACAAACAGTTTCTGCTTTAATATAATTGTCTAGCAAAGTCTCGTTTGTAGATTCCGGGGGATAAAGGGGTTTTGAATATGCCTCTACTACGTTGGGGATCCAGTTTCATCCCTGTTCACGTGTTAGTGATTTACTGCCGTGAAAAAGGATGAGGAGACATTGTTTTAAACCCTCAAACGAAACTTACTGTTTTCTCTGGCATCAGTGATGGTGTTGCGAGCTGTTGTAGTGGTGTAATACACGAAGGGCTACAAGAGTTATGTCCCTTTGTAAACAGTTTGTTTCATCGTTACAGGATTGTGTGTATTTTCTTCTTGATTGTAATACCATGTGCATGTGCTTAGTGGGTGATTTTAGTTATACGCCGCTTTTAGCAATATTTCAGCAATATCACGGCGGGGGACACCAGAAATGGGCTTCACACATTGTACCCATGTGGGGAATCGAACCCGGTCTTCGGCATATGCTTAACGAATGAGAATGATACATGGGCTGGGAGGCTATTTGTGATTAAGGATGTAGTAAAGATACTACACTGCACTACAATCATCCTTGTTGTCATTACTGGCAAATGATTAAAGGCGAGGCGTGACACTATCATGTAGAAATAGGAGCTTTTCTTCCGATAACATGTTGCTTGAAGTGGATAAGACTTCTTGCACCTCCATGGGGGTGGGTGGGTGAGTTTAGTTTTACGCCGCACTCAGCAATATTCCAGCTATATGGCGGAGGTCTGTAAATAATCGAGTCTGGACCAGACAATCCAATGATCAACAGCATGAGCATCGATCTGGGCAATTGGGAACCGATGACATGTGTCAACCAAGTCAGCGAGCCTGACCACCCGATCCCGTTAGTCGCCTCTTACGACAATCATGGGTTTACTGAAGATCAATATTCTAACCCGGACCTTCACGGGTCACCTCCATCTGGAGCCAACGTAACATCCTATGTACACAATGCAGTGTTCAAAATGATAAACTATTTCCCTGTAATGATAAGTTTTCTTACTCGAGCTTCAAATCAAATATCTCTTTTCATATTTCAGAAATGTTTCATGGAGAAAGTCTTAACAGACACCTACAATCTGCGATATAACCTAGGGTGCTTGCGATCTCACGTGAGTTGCATTTATGTTAGAATTGGACCGTAACATGGCTGTGAAGTTCACGCGAACGGCCGAGTATTCGCGAGTCAAGTAGTAGAAGGTTTTGCGGTACAATTCACAACATTCAAGTATAAGTTTACTCAGCCAAGTGCTGATACATTCACATAATGATGCATCGTCTGTTTTTCCTGCCTGGTTCTCTGGGTCTGTTGCGCCAGTGCTAACACAAACAGTGTCGGAGCGTTAGTGCAGGCGCAACAGACCCAGGGAACCAGGCTGCTGTTTTTCGTCTTCTGATGTTAACTTATTCTGTTGCCCGTATATTTCACGGGGAATATTTGACTCGATGACGACACCACCGTATCAGCCAATTCAAAATCATTTAAATTTCAGCATCTAATCCTTCATAAAACTATGGGACCTATCAGACATTCACCACTTTAAGAATGCCTTTCACACCTTTGCTTTTCATGTTGTGTAACGCAGCAACAATCCGGCTTCATGAATACAATCTGTAAATAATCAAATCCTGATCAGATCCCGTGATTGACATCATGAGCATCGATATGCGCAGTTAAATCACGAAAATACAGTGAACAAGGTCTAGAACACCAATCCCTTTATGCGCCTTTTGCAATAGACATGTATGAAGTCCTAGAAGGGACATTGTCGCGTTGTTGCCCTCACAAAAACAGGCAAAAGTGTCAACATTGACCAAAACGCGACAACCCGACATTTTGGCCATTTGTGGCATTGTCGCGCTTCGAATAATATTTTTATTTTTTTCCAAAGCGCGACAACGCGACGATTTTCTACTAGGATTCGATAGACATGGACTGCTGGGTAACCATCTTAGTTGTCTCCAATATCTAGGGGGCCGTGGGTAGCATAATGGTTAAAGCGGTCGCTCGTTACGCCGACGTTTGTTTCCCCACATGGGTACAATGTGTGAAGCTCATTTCCGGTGTCCCGACCGTGATATTGCAGGAATATTGCTAAAGGCGGCATAAAGCAAAACTCACTCACTCACTACAGTATCAGCATGAAGACACCTCACTATTACACAATCCTCGGATAAAATTAGACATAAAACGCTAATGCCAAAGGTAACTTTCTGTTGTGAACATTAATCGTTGATTCATCGTTGTTGGCAGGTGTGTGAGGAGCTACAGTCTCAATTTCAGAGGAAAGGTCGTGATCACGTGATCACGCAGATTTGCGCCAGCTGCTGCGATGGTACCAACTGCAACAACGTCGACTGCGACTCTACGAACTAATGTCTTCTTAATCCACCTGTAGTCATGTTCGTAAACAATTTAAAATATTTTGAGTTCTTTAAAAGGCTTCCTATATATTTTGTCCTGCGACCAGTGTGTATTACTAAGGGTTTTGATGCTGTAACTCTGGTAGTTAAAGTCACACCGGTCGAATGGGCCATTCGTGGCAAAGATGAGTCTTGTGTTGAGGACATTCTTAAGAATGAACTGGGAGGATTCACCACGCTTGATATGGAGGCTTTCGACCAGCTGTGTCGTGACATTGGGAATTTATAAGTTTTGAAACAGACCAAGCAGTATAAGTAAACTTAGGCTCAGTATTATCTGTTGGGCTACACTGCTTTACTGAGTCTAACAAACCCTAGTGGAAGGTCGCGTCAGCTAACCTTATAAAGTGACCAATCAGAACACAGCTTACCAAATCGCGAAAGTTAACATTCGCACATACCGTTGAACTTTTCATCGAAACGTTTCTCCTCGAACGATTCCAAATGCTGTTTTCCGCACGAACGCTTCCGAGTGATACACATCGACGGCGCTATTATTCACAACAGTGTGTAGACAGTTGCTGAAATTAGCGTTTTGCCTTATATTCCAAGATGACATCTTGCCGTAATGTAATCTGATAGTAACCATGTCATCAGAACCCCTAAGCGAGCCCACTGTCAATTTCATCTAGCGTCGCAAATTTTCAAGTCCCGCCGAACCCTAAATAGTAGCCGTTGTCTGATTGGTTTATTCCGTTCGACCGTCTCGACTGGACGGTCATAGATCGCTTAAAGGTTAGCTGACGCGACCTTCTACAAAGGTGTGTTAGACTCAGTATATACCAGTGTAACGAATAATACTGAGCCTAAGTTTACTTAGACTGAAATAATGTCAAAGCTGCTTGTTTTGAGCGATTACAACAATGGATGAGGCTTGGGCTGACAAACATCAGTAGAAGACTATACAACAGTCAAAGCAGAGGCAATATCTAGCGTGGCTTCCGAAGAAGGAAAGGACAGTTCAGTTAGCGTGAGATGATTGCTTTGGTTTGGGGAGTCTACAGGAACCCTATTGATGGAATACCTAGCTCTCGAAAGGTCAAACCATTACTGCCAATATTCTGGAATCCGTGCAGGCAACTTCGTGAAATTATCAAGAATTAACTTCGCAGAAAACTCACGAAAGGTATTTTGGACTCAAGGACGATGCACATGTCTCTTGTCGCACTGGCTGCAACGCAGATTTGAGTGAGTGAGTATGGTTATACGCAGCTTTCAGCAATATTCCACCAAAAATGGGCGTCACGTATTGTACCCATGTGGGGAATTGAACTCGAGTCTTCGACGTGACTTGCGAACGCTTTCACCACTAGGACTGACAAACATCAGTTGCGGTGGCTGAGCGGGTTAGACGCCTGACTTTATGTGTTGGCGATTGGGTGCCTGACTCTGAGGGTGTGGGTTCGAACCCGGATGGGACTCAACCCAACAAAGGTACGAGAATCTGTACTTTACAAAGAAAGTGCAATCTCAAACATGTGTTATATAAGTCGTAGACTTTACAACAGTCAAAGCAGTCTGAAGCCCATTTCTGGTGTCCCCCGCCGATATAATCCTGGAATATTGCTAAAAGCGGCGTAAAACTAAACTCACTCATTTACTGAATGTCACTAAGGATGATCAGCGGCAATGCTGTCAAGAGCACCTGATCATCACTGATGTCAGAAAGTGATCCATGCACACGGTTAACGCCACTATTTTCCCTTTCTTACAAGGAGGTTAACCGAGACTGGTTACTCTCTGGCGTTGATGTTTAATATGTAGAAGAAACTGAACTGGAAGACTGGTAGCAGAATTGACTAACATTGTAGTTTTTACGGACACAGAATTTCTTGTGTCGCTTAACTTAAAGTAGAATTCGTGGGGCGTCACTTTGTAAGATATATGTGGAATGAAGTACTTTTATCGTTTCTGTATATCCAGAGAAATACGCTGTGCTGTACGGGTTTGAACTTGTTTGAAGGTGAGCTCACCGAGACTTGTGATAAGAAGAAACGACTTTATGGAGGGGATGGTCGGTCTTGATGACTTTCTTGACTGCGGTGCATCGTTCTCCGATTCATTATCAGATCAAAGACTCAATTATTAGATTACATGCCGCAATTAAAGTGAATACTACTGAGAGCTTCCTTAAGCTACAAACAGTTTCTGACACCTTTATTTCCTTGTCACAATACACCATCCCAGACAATCAGTTCTTTGGGTTATACAGGGTTTCTTTGGCAGGGATTTTACCGCCGTTGCAGTTGTCAGTTGTACAGCAGTATCTGCAAGTCATTGCTGACATCAAGGTGGTGGGATCCATGTCGACACACTCGCTAATGTCCGATGTCTGCTCATACCACAACTTCTGGCACTGGTTTTGATCGACACATCTGCAAAAGATGTTTTAACGGACTAAATATTTTTACTGTGATTTTAAGTTATTATTTGGCAGTAGGACGGAGCTTTGCTTGTATTCGATAGTTCCAAATACCGCTGTTTAAAAATCGGTCGTGGGAAAGTAATAAAACAGAACAATTGTACAGGTTACAGCTGCTTTTGGTCATTATGGTGGAAGAAGATATCTTGCCGACGGCGGTGGGGTATGCTAGTGGTGACAGCCTACGTTCGTCACGCCGAAGACCCGGGTTCGATTCCCAACATGGGTACAATGTGTGATGCCCATTTCTGATGCCCCCCCGCAGTGATATTGCTGGAATTTTGCTAAAGGCGGCGTAAAACCATACTCACTCACTCTACTCACAATTTACGTTTTTCGTTGTTACATGCAACTAAAACTGTAAGGATAACTGATTAACCTACTATAGCTGACACGTCATACCATGGAGATTCTGGATCCGAAATGATCCCTTGAATGGCGGTCCTACATAGAGACTAAATGGATCTGGAAGTCAGGTTTAGTGACTTGGTTAATTGATCACGATGTTTACAGATCTCTGTGGAGTATCATTGTCAAAGCCAATGTTAGGGTTTATGTTCATTGCTTTGCAATGTTGTACTAGGAGGGCCGGTGGTTACAGCGTTCGCTCGTCACGCTGAAGGTCCGGGTTCGATTCCCCACATGAGTACAATATGTGAAGCCCATTTCTGGTGTCCCCCGCCGTGATATTGCAGGAAAATCGCTAAAAGCGGCGTAAAACTAAACTCACTCACTTACACGTTGGGAAAGTATTATCTGTTTGTTTCTTCGAAAATGGAATTTGAACTTTATTCAGAAGAATTTCGCGATTTCTATCGTTACTTTCCACTCACTTCAAGTGCATTTTTAGAACTCAATGTTTCGAGATATTCGAAGAATCGTCATAACGGACATACCTCTTTATATAGTTGGTTGTACCATCGACATGTTGTTCGATGTCAGTCATACAGAAACTTGTCCCAGCCGGACAGGAAGATGCATGAGGTATATATATGTCTTGGAGGGTGCAGTATGTGCCGTCGTCAACGCTACCACACTGATAGCACGTACGGTGGACTGCCGGAGTAGTTGCTAGTGTAGTAGTTGTTGTGTGGGCAGTAGAGGGTGGTGTAGTAGGTGTAGCAGTAGACGTAGGTGTACTAGTTGTCGATGTAGGTATAGTACTCGTTGAAGGGGATGTAGTAGAAGGAGGTGTTGTAGGTACAGCAGTAGGTGTTGCTGTTGATGTAGGTGTAGTAGTTGTAGATGTAGCAGTAGATGCAGGTGTAGTAGTTGAAGTAGAGGTAGACGACGGTTTTGTAGGTGTAGAGCAGGTTGATGATGTTGTAGTTGCAGTTGTTGCAGTAGATGAAGCAGTAGTTGTAGGGGTAATAGTTGTAGATGTTGAGCAGTTGGGTGTGTAGTAGTTGTAGATGTTGCAGTTGTTGTTGGTGTTGGTGTAGGTGAAGCAGTAGTTGTAGGGGTAGTAGTTGTAGATGTTGCAGTAGTTGCAGGTGTAGTAGTTGTAGATGTTGCAGTTGTTGGTGTTGGTGTAGGTGAAGCAGTAGTTGTAGGGGTAGTAGTTGTAGATGTTGCAGTAGTTGCAGGTGTAGTAGTTGTAGATGTTGCAGTAGATGAAGGTGTAGTAGTTGATGTGGGTGTAGTACTTGTAGACGAAGGTGTTGTAGGCGTAGCAGCAGGTGTAGTAGTTGTAGATGTAGCAGAAGATGTAGTTGTAGTAGTTGAAGTAGAGGTAGATGACGGTGTTGCAGGTGCAGAAGTAGATGTAGGTTTGGTTGTAGTAGTTGAAGGCATCGTAGGCGATGGACGTTTAGTAACAGGCGTCGGTGATGCAGTAGATGCAGGTTTGGTAGAAAAGTCGAGGAGGCATCTGTGACGGCCGGCTGGGGTGTCATCCCTGTAGTTTTATCGGCTACAATGGAAAATTCCATGAATATCAACCTATATAGGGTGTACGTTACGTGTAGCCATGTTGGTAGGGATACATTTGTATACACGCAGTTTAAAACGTCTATGTTCAAGTGGATTAAACGTGGCACGTGTATTTCCTGAGAAGGACCGATGTGAGTATTATATAGGGGTGGGTATTGCAGAGAATTTTCATATTGCGATATACTGCGATGCGAAAGCATGTATTGCGATATGTATTGCAATATATTGCATGAAGTATTTTTAAACAAAAAACTACTTATAATCGAGTTAATGCTTGATTCATAGAGCAAAAGCACAGCAAAATCACTATGCTTGATTAAGCTTTAATAACAACTTTTCATCATGATAAAATAGAAATGTGAATAATATTTGGCACAAATGAAACAAGGAAATATCCGAAGATTTCCGAGTGTTACGAAGTTTTCCGAATGCAAGTCAAAATACCGGTTTTCGATCAGCGTATCGCAATACGTATCGTTTTCATGTCTGAACCGGTAAATACCAGTAAACCGGTTATATTGCGCAGCCCTAGTATTATATGCTCTTCAAAAAACGTTGGGGAACCTGAACTTCCAATTTGGATAGGAAGTATTAGCGTTAACAAACGTTTCAAAGACTGACATCTTATGAACGCACCACCATTTCTTTTTATTCACACACACACACACTGAAACAAACGCATGACCTGCACGTGCACAACGCAGTGGCCCCATACACGTGCATGGGGTGTCATTTGTGATTATGAGGGTTTTCAAGAAGGTCCATAAATTACACAATTTTGACAATCGTCCATAACACAGTTGTTAGTGGTTTTTTCTAGGCGTTTATTGTGTTTGAAAATGAAAATCGTCCACATGCAAAATCATCTTTCAAGAGCGATTTCTGTACAAACAACTGTGGTCATACGGAAATGTAAGAGGTGATGCACTCTCACAACATTCATTATTATCATATCAACAAGTCGATAAGTATGGGCCGCAGAAAAACAAACCTATCACGAATCTTCACGGGTGCCCAGCCCTACTATTTGCATAGTGTTACGGTTTAGGAATTGTCACATACAAAATCATGTGAATGTTTGTCGCCAAAGTATTGTCAGTTATTAAGCTGCAGGAAGGCGAGAGTTGATTACAAATATACCCTCCGGTAGGAATACACGAACACATTACCTGTGTTGGTTGGTGACACCGAACACACACCACACGTCTTCGGGCACAGCACGGGCATATCCACATAATGGCATATCTCTGGTTTGCATAGGAAATAGTTATCAGAGCACGTAGATGCTGAAACAATCAAATATGACACGGATTTGTGACTAAATAATCAAAGTGGGTTTTAGCTCGCAAGAACGACTTTAGCTGTCAAGATCACAATCAGTACAGTTAATGTTTGTTTTTCTATGTTTGACGGGAGATAGGTTTGAAGTGAGTATATGCAAGCTAGGGCTGTTGTGTAAGTAGTGAACGATTCTCTGTGTTGTAGGCTACTAAAGCTATTGAGGCTACTGTCTGGAATCAGGATTGTTTATTCTCATAAATGATGCAAAATGATATCGAGAACATACATATATTTTGATAAATACAAAGTGCTATTCTGGCTTATATGCATATGAATATAATATAAATGTATAACTAAAACGGTGATAATACAACTTTCGTTAAACGTGACAGTTTCTGTATCAAAGGATGATAGTCAGACTTCATAAGGGAAATAAATTTATCAATATGGGGGTTATTACAAAAAATAACTAGGGAGTATACTTTTTCTTACATCATTTAGAGCTCTGCATGATGAGATAATATGAAATTCGTCACATATAAGATGGTGGTTACAAATTGTACATATTCAATTTTCTGTGTCTATATTATACCATCTGCCGGTTGGTGTATGGTATGAGAGACCATTGTATGAATCTGGGAAGTAAGCTTGGGGTCAGTCAAGTCTTTTATATAGCTTGGAAATTGTATACGTGTCAGGTTGGCTGGTTCTCCTGTACCACCAGCCTAGTGGTTAAAGCGTTCGCTCGTCACGCTGAAGGCCCGGGTTCGATTCCCAACATGGGTACAATGTGTGAAGCCCATTTCTGGTGTCCCCCGCCGTCATATTGCTTGAATATTGCTCAAATATTGTAAAACTAAACTCACTTACTCACTCATTCAATTGGCATAGAAAATGATGTGAGTGTTTGTTGTCAAGCATTGCCAGTTATTAAGCTACAGTACGGCCAGAGTTGATTGCAAATATACCTTCATTTGCCTGTTCAGCCTCTCTACTCAGGAACTCTCTCCCTGTCACCATTATATCACCAGACTCATCTGTTTTCATTGCATTGTGACTAGTATACAAGTCCCTCATTGTATATATACTAGACACCAAAAGAAACGTTACCCTCCTACCTTTATGAATTACTGAAAAACTATCAAAGATATTTTAGAAGGTTTTAGTTTCCATGAAAGCTTAACAACACAGATTTATGCAAATCACGAACAAAATTCTCAAATGCATTCATATTTGGGTGAAATGCATCTTTTTCAGAAGAGTTAAATTGTCACATATTTGTCCATGCCAAATAACCAATAATAGTGATTTTGATGTCCAAAGGAAAGGTTGAAATAAAATTCAGCTGTGAGCATGGGCCTTATTCACATTTATTATCATTATTATCATTATTATCCTTTCCAGGGCAGGGATACATAATCACAATACCTATGTTGGTTGGTGAGACTGTACACAGACCACAAGTTTTCGGGCAAAGCGCGGGCATATCCTCCAAATGGCATATATCGGGATTGCATACTAGTAAATTCTTATCAGAGCACGTAGATGCTGAAACAATCAAACAAGATTTGTGATAAAAAATAGAACATGGGTTTCAGCTTGCAAGAGCAACTTTATTCCAAGTTGGGCTGACTCGTTCGGAGTTTTGTTTTCAAATGGGATTGTTTTAAGAGACAGGCGTCGAGTCCAATTTACTCATATTGTGTATTGGTGTTAGTTACTCACCTGTGGATGGATGTTGTGTTGTTGACACTGCGGGGAGGGTGGTGTGGGTGTGGTGGTGGTTGTTGTTGGCGTTGTGGGTGTGGTCGATGCCTAAATCAATGAAAAAATGACTAACTGGCTCTGTGGCTCACCTTTATATTCCAAACATGATGTATTTGTGATGTTGATTTACAAGCAATAATAGTAGAAACAAACATCAGCATCTTTTTGAAAATCGCGGATTAATAGTCATGACTCATGCTCAAGAGTGATGTGATGAACAAGATATAGTTTGTATGTAACAAATAGTCTGTGGCAGTCCACTCAGTGTGAATAACTTAACTCATCTTAATGTTTCGGAGGAGAATACACAGAAAGAAAAATCAAATTTTCGTTTTCAGGAAATAATATTGAAAAGGTGTTTTCCGGAAAGATAAACGATTAGCGTCAGAATACTCAGTTTCGATTACCCGACGTAATAGGGCGTAAAAGACTAAATTAATTACTAATAAGAAAGAAATATGATTGCTGAAATTCAGTGGTGACGCCGAGTGTACGCGAATAGGATACAAAGCCATTCTGAAAATTCTGTAAAATCTTCTTATTGAAATTAACAGGTTTCTTCTTTGAGGGGCATTTTTTAGAAGGTGTATAGGTGAAGTAAAATAAGTTCTATGGATAATCAACGTCTTTATTGCAATGAGTGTGACGTTTCGGTGTAGGTAGTAACACTGTTATCAAGCAAGTGACAAAGGAAAACCAAGTTGTATGGATAGTCAGCTTCTTTATTGCAATGAGTGCGACGTTTCGGTGTAGGTACTTGCTTGATACCGATGCCATTACCTACACCGAAACGTCACACTCATTTCAATTAACAGGTTTGCCAGAGGTTTGTGGGGATATGGAGAAGATACTCTTACATGTATCTGCAGCTATCGTGATTTATATTGGTAATGAGTACTTACATGTAGTTAGAAAACTCATCTGTCGATACCGTAGTCAACTTTCAATTCTTTGCATCTTAACGTTTAACATTTAATGAAAAACACGCTAAGTTTGGGTCAGTTATGGTCTACGGAAAATGCACCACAGAATGGAAATATGATTTCAAACGATTTAGCGGACGTCAGAGATGGATGAAAATCAAAGAAGTAATTTGGGCTTAACCTTTTCAGTCATGTGTTATTACATACCAAAATGTACCTTGAAGCGTTGACTCACACATTCCTGATCTTCACAGCAAAAAACACAATTCCTCTCATTTTCACTTGGTGTAACGCATCCGGCAGCATTCGGAGCAGGTAGGACGTCTGTACACTTAATGCAGGAAAACCAGGAGTACACATATTGCAAATAACACTCGGCCTCATTTCAACATCCAGTGACACATATTGCCACAGTTCCAGGTTTGGGTGATACATGTACAACTGAGCAACTGGATTTCCCAGCATTGCTGTGTTTTGTTGTCGTCCATAAATCAAATAAACAAAATATTTCTACAGCTGATCCGGAGGAACATTAGGGGGGTATACACCGGTGTTCCCTATTTGGGTAAACTTCTGAAGTATGCATTGGTTTCTGCATCCATAAACGTAAAAGTAATAAAATTGAAATCAATTTTTAAACATCATGGGATGGCGTACGGAGCATGAAGATTTGCTGCCGTATATACTGGTCAGCTGTACTGGATAAAATCTGTTATTTCACTTAATAAGTTGCTTTTCGTTCCATTAACATTGACATGCTTGACATTAAGTGACTGGATATAATGTCACCCACTGAAAAATTTGATTGCTTCTCATATATGTTTTGTTTAACACATTACGCAACAATATTCCAGCTGTGTATATCAACTGACGTCACATAGATAGATCACTTCTGGTTTACTCTTCCATTCGTCTCGTGCATATCCATGTTACAATTCTCCAACAAACCATGCGCGTTGTGAGTTTAACGGGATCGGGTGATCAGACCCACCGACATGGTTGATGTATGGCATCGTTTCCCGACTGCTTATATCGGCAATCTGATTTCAGTCACCTGATTGTGTAGTCGAGTATTTGCAGACCGCTTTCATACAGCTAGACTGTGACTAAGTGTGGCGTTCAACAACAACGAACAAACAAATCCAACCTACACTTGCGCTGTAACCACATCGGGAGGAGAAATGAGTTCCGTTGGTTGTCAGGTGGCAAATCTGCAACAAACAAAAAGACCTAATCCAACATATTCATACACACTTGCACTCCGTGAGGGTCCGGGTTTAGAATTGATCTTCAGTAGCCCATGCTTGTAAGATGCGACTAACGGGATCAAGTGCTCAGGCTCGCTGAATTGGTTGACACATGTCATCGTATTCCAAATGCGCAGATCGATGATCATGCTGTTCATCACTGGATTGTCTGGTCCAGACTCGATTATTTACAGACCGCCACCATATAGCTGGAGTATTGCTGAATGCGGCATTAAACAACAAACGAAACAAAACAAATAAACTAGATTTGATCAAACTCACATCATGGTCTCTGTGACAGTGGCTGTAATTTGTAACGCAGATTTCAGGATCCAGCACGTCCTTACAGTGAGGGCATTCTAGAGTCGGGTTATGTCCTGAAAACAATCACACCGTAACATGTTGATCAGTGATAGGCAGCGTCCCTTCAGGGGCAGAATTAGTCCACAACCTGCAGTAGTGAATGAGTGAGTTTAAGTTAACGCCGCTTTTAGCAATATTCAAGAAATGTCACGGCGGGGGGACACCAGATACGGGCTTCATACATTGTACCCAAGTGGGGAATCGAACCCGGGCCTTCGGCGTGACAAGCGAACGTTTTAACCAGTAGGCTACCCTACCGCTCCACAACCTGTAGCTTCATTGACTATACTGTTTGTCCAGACACCAGTATTTACAGAACTCCATCATACGGCTGAAATATTATGTCGAGTGATGATTGTGTGTTTACGAATGACTGTTGAAATGTTCCGCGGCAAATAATAAAGGGCAATGAAGATATATTTTCCAAATAATTCAGTCCGAGATCCACACTGAAAAACCTATTGCAGGAATAAATAGACATAACTGACTGACTGACTGAGTTTGGTTTTACGCCGCTTTTAGCAATATTCCAGCAACATCACGGCGGGGACACCAGAAATGGGCTTCACACAATGTACCCATGTGGGGATTCGAACCCGGGTCTTCGGCGTGACGAGCCAACGCTTTAACCATTAGGCTACCCCACCGCCCCAAATAGACATAACAGTGAAAACTGAGCTTCCCGTGTTTGAGAAAATGTACATGTACCAAATGCCCTTAAATAAAATGGTAATTTACATGTTTTCCAATATGGGAGAAATACTAACAAAATGAAAGTATGCAATGGAAAATATTTGAACAATCTGGAATCAGGACCGAATTACGCATGTAAAGAATATATATCGAAATTTCGATATGTTCTCATAAATATAAAAAACACCCAGGTGTTCGAAAGTACATGTCTCAATGATTCATGAATAATCTGTGTTTGTTCAAAATGTACGAAGTAACAATTGTATTTGGCCAATAAAAGCTGAACAGTATGTTTTTTTACATGTAATATCAATTTCATCCCTATTTAGAAATTGCTGTGCTAAAGATACACTCTGGTTTTCTGGTAAGCACAACTGAACAAGCAAGATAAGTTCATTGTGACGTTCTCATGGTGATGTTGTAAGATCTTTGACCATTCGCTCGAATTATCGGTCGGAATATGAACTGGATGATATCAATACCAACGCACATCGTGCAAGATCGTCGCCAAACCACGGGATTAAACATTCCAGTGAGTGAGTATGGTTTTATGCCGCGTTTAGCAATATTCCAGCAATATCACGGCGGAAATAGGCTTCACACATTGCACCTATTGGGGAATCGCACCCGGGTCTTCGGCATGATACCCGTGACGATCTGGGTAAGAATTGATCTTCAGCAACCCATCCTTGTCGTAAGAGGCGACTAACGGGATCGGGTGGTCAGGCTCCACGATGTTCAGCCATGGGATAAAACATTCAGGTTCAACGAAATTGATACACTCACCATTTGGAGTTGGCGTGACAGTCACGCCATGTACGCCAGGTTTGTTGGTCTGGCGAATCAGGTCTGAAGGTTTTCAAAGCAGAGTTATCAAAGCATAGTTTTAGTACTATATTTTTGTGTCAGAAATATTAATTGAAAATGAATATAATTGTGTTCCTTGATATGAATACTGAGCATATTACGATGTAGAAGTGTCTCTCTTGCAAAACATTTAGGTTGGTTGATGGTCTATTCCAAACCACCCAGTAATTGATCACAAATGTACACAATGGAGACATCAACAAGAAGCGAGTATGCTGACGTGATCACCTTGACGTTTTACAGAAAACGGTATCCCGCGAAGTGCGCAATGGGCGCCAAATTTAAGAATGGAAGAATTTTAAAGCACGAAATTTCGATAATAATTAATATTGTATGAAATTTGAAGGAAACGGGAAAATATTCGAAAATGCTTGTCTTATTGCTTTCTGAAGTCTTCAGTAATTGTTCAAAAGTTACCAGGAAATAATTATGTATATAATTATGAATAGTTTTTATGGGTAATAATTTCATTAAAAAACATTTTAAGTCAAATACAATTTATGACTGGGCTTCTTCTTTAGTCTTAATTATGTCATAACAATAGTTGACTGTATATCTCATCCAGTTGACGTGGCTAAAGAACATGGTCAAGTTACCCATTCGCAATGTTATAGACGATCCGGGTAGGAATTGGTCATCAGCAACCCATGCTTGTCGTAAGAGGTGACTAACGGGATCAGACAGTCAGGCTCGCTGACTTGGTTGATACATGTCATCGTATCCCAGTTGCGTAGATTGATGGTGATGTTGGTCAATTGATTGTCTGGTCAAGGCTCGATTATTTACAGACCGCCGCCATACAGCTGGAATATTGCTGAGTGCGGCGTTAAACAACAAACAAACACAATGTTATATCCTCCCAATTTCAAAGAACCTCGTGATATTTCAAAGATATCGTGGATGCTGATTTCAGTACACCAAGGTATTATAGTCGGCACGGTCAGCGGCTGGTGTTCCCTCTAAGGAAAGGCACACTCACGTTTACGAAGATGGGCCCAAGTCGTAGCGATGCACTGATCGTCCTTACAACATTCCTTGCACGAGTTCAGCTGTGTGAGATGATCAGTATGAGAACACGACAGAGGGTGGATGTGATGCTTATGGCAATCCTGAAACAGCAACCCGTATGCATATTCTGAAGGAATGTGTGTGTACACGAAACTACCCGTGAAGGTCCGGGTTAGAATATTGATCTTCAGCAACCCATGCTTGTCATAAGTGGCGACTAACGGGATCGGGTGGTCAGGCTCGCTGACTTGGTTGACACATGTCATCGGTTCCCAGTTGCGCAGATCGATGCTCATGCTGTTGATCACTGGATTGTCTGGTCCAGACTCCATTATTTACAGACCGCCGCCATATGGCTGGAATATTGCTGAGTGCGGCGTAAAACTAAACTCGCTCACTCATTCACTGTACGCGAAACAGTCTTAATGTCAATGCCACTCGAGGTCAAAGTATGAAACATATTTCAAGGGTTAAGGTATTTAAAATGATGTCATAAAAATATTTACAAACCAGTTAGAATGAACTGGTCGTCCAGGTATGACATAGATAAGGTTTTTTGGTTTTCAAGTCAGCTGAGGCATATGCAAATTAAAAAAGCAAAGACCTGTCATGTCAGGTGCGTGTCAAATGCCGAGGTTACTTTGAAGGTCATGCACTCTGATTTCAAATGGTTCATTAAGAATGGAAAGTCTCTATTGTATGCAGATTTCTCATCTAAATTTCACCTCTGAAGGTCAAGGACACACAATAATAATTAGTCACATAAAAAAAACTTGTGTTGGAGAAAACTTCAGCATGTATAATTGGAGCGTGATGAAACATGGTACACATGCTATATGTATCTCGACAGAAGTTGTTGATCGAACGGCATTAGGGAACAAATAGTGAAACACGGCTAAACGCTTCAAGAAATGTCACGTATATTGTTTCAGCATTTCAATGACATATTCAAAGCAGGGTAAAATCAATGACAATATCTCAACGTCATTTTGATGTCGAAGCGACATAGTCGAACCACTGGTCACCCACACTTAGAACAAACGGTCCATTCACAAAGTCATCTTACGTTCGCACATGTCTGCTTTCCCAATGAAAACGACATACTCTTTGTTTATTTAAAACAGAATTTCCGATGTTTGTAGGAAGACTTACATTATGAGTACTAAGACACCCGCTGGTCACTTTACCCCCTTCAACGGATATTTCACATATCTGAAACAAACACGTCAAATAGTTCTCATGGAAAAATACGTAAAGGTATTGGTGTCATCTGATTTGCTTGCTTAGTCGATGATGTGAATATATAATATATATATCAGTTGCCGAACATGAAGCTACATTTCCAAGAAAAAAATATGAAAGAATGGTTGACAATGTTTATTTTCAAAGAATACTAGCAAGTATAAATGAATAGGTGAGGGGATTTCCAGCTTTGTCACGCTTTTAAGAATATATTTAAGATTTTGGACACATTTTTATTCTGAAATAAGGCGATGAAAAGGTGATGAGCAATGCTTGACGGTTGTTGTACTTACCGTAGGTGATGAGCAATGCTTGACGGTTGTTGTACTTACCATTGGTGATGAGCAATGCTTGACGGTTGTTGTACGTACCATAGGTGATGAGCAATGCTTGACGGTTGTTGTACTTACCATTGGTGATGAGCAATGCTTGACGGTTGTTGTACTTACCATTGGTGATGAGCAATGCTTGACGGTTGTTGTACTTACCATAGGTGATGAGCAATGCTTGACGGTTGTTGTACTTACCATAGGTGATGAGCAATGCTTGGCGGTTGTTATACTTACCATAGGTGATGAGCAATGCTTGACGGTTGTTGTACTTACCATTGGTGATGAGCAATGCTTGACCATTGTACTTACCATAGGTGATGAGCAATGCTTGACGGTTGTTGTACTTACCATTGGTGATGAGCAATGCTTGACGGTTGTTGTACTTACCATAGGTGATGAGCAATGCTTGACTATTGTACTTACCATAGGTGATGAGCAATGCTTGACGGTTGTTGTACTTACCATAGGTGATGAGCAATGCTTGACGGTTGTTATACTTACCATTGGTGATAGGTGATGAGCAATGCTTGACGGTTGTTATACTTACCATAGGTGATGAGCAATGCTTGACGGTTGTTTGTACCACCAGGTGATGAGCAATGCTTGCTTGACGGTTGTTGTTGTACTTATCATAGGTGATGAGCAATGCTTGACGGTTGTACTTACCATAGGTGATGAGCAATGCTTGACGGTTGTTGTACTTATCATAGGTGATGAGCAATGCTTGCTTTACCATAGGTGATGAGCAATGCTTGACCATTGTACTTGCCACCATAGGTGATTGGCAATGCTTGACCATAGGTGATGAACAATGCCTGATGATTGTACTTACCATAGGTGAAGAGCAATGCTTGATGATTGTACTCACCATA